GAGCAGGGTAGAGGTTAAAGTGTTGGACCAGGACTAGGGAAACCCAGGTTCAAGTCCATAGAACTTGAAGTGCAACTATGAGATAGTCTCTCTCATAACCCAATCTATCTCACAAGATTCTTCTTGTGGAAAAAAAGTGAGAGGGAGATGCCATGTATACCACTTTCACCTTCTGAAGAAAAGGTGGTATATAAATCTAACAAATAAATATAATAGATTTTTTTTCACGATCTTTGGGATTGAATGAGAAGACTAACAACATGTCCAAGAAAGGATTTTGTCTTAAAAATACCCCTGAAAACATTTACACTGCACCAAATGGTTCTTTTGACAAACAGTGTAATTTCAAGAGCAGTTTACAATGAAACACAAGGAGTAAAGGTTACAAATCCTACTACATGCACCCAATGGAATTTCAATGGAAAGCAGTCCCTACCCATGAACTGTAATAGTCATTTTTCACTGAAAGGTCACATTTCTGGTTTGAATCTCATATAAATCCATAAATGATCACATTAGATCTACCTTTGGTTTCAGACAATGGCAGCAGATGTCTATCTTCTGACTTTTCGTAAGATATCAATGGACAAAATTACACAGTTTCTCTTTTATGGTCAGAATCACAATGTTAGTAGTCATTTCTATGTCTTACATTCCTCCTGACCCAGGCACATACTTACCACGGAATTTAGCATAAATTCTCCCCTTCCACAAATAGATGCTCATCACAATAATGATCATATATGGTATAGCTTATATCTACCTGTAGACTTGTTCTAACTGTTACAATTAGCTTCAGCCAGGATGGAAATTTTCCAATCATTTTGCTGAGGAATGATACAATTGTATCCCCATAATCTGGTTTGTGAAATTCAGCTTCATTTAAGCCATCAATCAATATGATGAAATCTTCATTTGGGATCTTCCGTTCTAGAGTTTGTGAGAGAGAGGTAGGAGAAATATATGCAAAATAATTAATCATATGCTGTAAGCAATTATGCAATCATATATTATTATGTAATTAAATTCCTACCTTTATGAAGGTTTTCCAAGGGTTCTAGGACTCCTCTCCGGAAAGAAGCAAGAGGATCTTGGACACAGGATCGCAAGCTGAGCATGCTTTGCAGATGTGGTTCACGCAACAGTTGCTCTCTGTAGGCAACAAACTGGGGGGAACGGCAGAGCAAGGCTGCTACGTTGTGTACAAATTCTGGCACCAGACAGGTGTAGGCATTATCAGCTTGACAATAGTGATATGCAACAACCTAGAAAATGGAAGCAAACATCAGCTTCTCAGCACATACATATTAAATGAAAACAACATTTGTTTTGTTTCATTCAGTTCAATAAGAAGAGAGATGTCTGCCAAATATCTGGAATCTAAGAGGCAGAGGAACTGTGTAAAAAAAAATACTAAAGACCTAATGGTTCTCACAAACTCTAGGTTAGGATAGTGGCTG